TATCATCCAGTACTGTTCACCTTGGCAATAAAATAACAATAATTGATTTAACGAAACGAAAAGTTGAGAAAACTATTTCTCCTGGTGGACAAACGATTGGTATTGTGGCTACCAAAAAAACATTGCTTTATCAAATATACCAAAAAGAATTCAAGTCATGCATCTTACTGACGAGTCAACACGTGATATAATCACTGAGAACATGCACACACCAATCAATGTAGCAATATCTGGACACACACTTTATTATTCCAGTTTTCATTATCATACAGTAGTATGCTGCGATCTCCAAGGTACAAAACAATGGTCATTCAAAGATGAAATTTTTTTAAAACATCCGTATAGAATATCTGCTGACAACGATGGAAATGTGTATGTTGTAGGGTGTAGAACGAAGAACGTCGTAGTTATCTCACAAGATGGACAAAAACAAAAGGAACTCCTATCTATAAGAGATGGCTTAACATCCCCATGGGCAATTGACTTTGGACGTGCAACTAACCATTTATTAGTTACAACTGATAATTATAAAGCATATCTGTATAAGGTATCCAGTAATTATGTAAATAAGCTCATCATAGATAGATCAGTTATTAATTAAATTTGATAACAATGTATAAGCATAAAGCATTTATAAAAATAAAGCATCTAAAATATACAATACATTTAAAAAAAAAACATAATACAGAACCAAATTAAATAACGCAAATCTAAGCAGGTCCTTCAACATTTGAAAATTAGTTGTTTCTTCATTTTGTATTTAGAGTGATAACTTAGAGTAAATTGTTTAGTTTAAACATATTTTATCTGCAACAATAACAAAAGGGATTGTACACAAGTTATAGCAACATTAGAGAAGTCATTTTCCAAAGGTTTAAGTTGTCATTTGTGTTATACAGTTTGCCGAAGACGAAGCTATGTAGTCTTACTCACAATGAATCAACATATAAGTTTAACTAGACCATGAATATATCAAAAACGTTTCACACTATAAGGTGTAAATATAGGGGTTTATAATTTGGAAATTATGGTAAATAAAAGGAGCAAGGCTACGTAAGTCATATGAGGCGAAGCCGAGGTTGACAATGTTCTTTCGAAGGGTACTAATCTGATCTATCACCCTCTCAGCTATGTGCTATTTAATTTATTATACTGAATGTCATTATCGTCTTTTACTGTTCAATTTCAAATTGGAAGTACTTAAATATGACGTCATGTAAATAACAACGTAAGAGTTATTAGAAAAACAACAGAAGTGAAGCAAAATGTATTTTTAATTTTGACAGTCTATGAAAAATTCTGAGGCTAAAACGTAGAGCTGTAGCATTGTCTTTTATTTATCGATGTAAATTGAATTCATTGTCCTTCAGATTATCGATTTTTGATTCGTCTGTACGAGAGGATGACATTCAAAATATTGTCTCCCGCTGAGCCATAGGAGTATTTTATCCCCCTCGTATTAGCCAATAAAAATCTTGCATTTTAACGTGAAGTAAAATAAAACTATATATATCAGCATGAGTTTGCGCTCTTGGTTACATTTGATCAATACATAACACAAACAATTATTGTAGTAAATAGTTTTCATGCATATTTCCAATTTAACAACAATAACTTCTATAAACGTTATGATGTATGCATTCAGTCTACTACGTTCACACCTTTAAGAAAAATATTAATTTCGTTCCCTTCGATGTTTTATCGACATAACAATTATTAAACTATTGTTTCTTGGTCATGTATAAGAAGTAACACATTTTGCACTCATGGGTTTTTAACCATGATATTACACTTAATATTTATCAATGCAGAACAGGAGAACGATGTAATTAAGTTATACTGATTCCGATCTGTTCGATAAAATAAATTGATCAATTAGTATAGCATTATTTCTTGTTTTTCTTTTTTGTTTAATTAATCCAGAGGATATATACTGGCTTAAACATACATTATTTGTCCCTACTAATATCTAACAACACGATTCCTGCGCGCTAAATCGGTATCAAAGTTTATGGTATGTATTACAATATGGAAGTGAAATCTTCTTTTTGTGAGAATTTTTGTAGAAATCTTATTTTGTCATAGTTATGTAGTTGTTTTCTTTTTAAACCGATATCTGCAATCGTTTTAAAAGTAATCTTCTTTTAGACCGGTATCTGTCATAACTTTATAAAAGTCTTCTTTTGAGATCGATATCTTTCAGATTTCTATAGAAATCCCTTTTTAAACCAATCTCTGTCATATTCTTATAGTAATCTTTTCTTGATACCGGTATTTTTCATAGCTTTGTAGTAAGCTGCTTTTTAGACCGGTAACTGTCATAGTTTTGTAGTAATTTTCTTTTGAAATCGGTATCTGTCATAGTTTTGTAGAAATATTCTTTGAGACCGGTATCTGTCTTAGTTTCCATACATGTGTTCACAAACATACCTGATGATGGTTATTCAAGAAACACGTATAGAAAGAATATATGTGATACCTTTAGAATAATGCCTTTTTCGTTATCGTAGCTTGTTTACGATCAGTTTCTGGATGTAACTGCCTTAATGCAAGCATGATTTAATTGATGACTTTTGTTTAACTTTTCAGTTCATAGATTATATACGGAAATTGTGCTAAAATTAAGGTTGAACAGTAGTAGCATCGAACTATTAGTTGTAAGAACTCATCAAAGATTAAATACTTTTAATTTAATACACTAATCGCCGTATCGTCATTCGTCTCATCAGTGGCATTTAAATCAAACCACTTGAAAGGTCAAACCAATTGCTAAGTTGAAAATCATCAAACATCAATTTTTCAACCAGCAATGCCAAATATGACCGGTGGTAGACAATGGTAGAAGAAAGAGTTTCGTATCAATTTATAGTACATATACATAAAATGGCCGCATCAAAGATGTTTCATATCAATATGTCAAAAAATGTTTTATAGTCTAACGTTCCAAGTTAAAATCGTTAGTGTATTTGATAAATGCAGAAACTCGTGTCGTGGCGTGTCCTACAATAGTGTGGAATCTTTTTCATATGTATTCGGAATTTTAGTTGTGTTATAGTACTTATCCCATCCTTCTTGTCTATGTCATGACTATCACCCCGTGAATAACATGGCAAAAGCATCTCTGTAATTCCTTTCATGTACATTTAACATTAACCCTGAAGTTTGAAATTTTCAGCAAATTGCAGAGTGAAGAGAAATTAAGCAACAACCATTCGAAGAAAGAAAACCGTGATTTGTTTAAGTTGTTGATAAGACAAACCATCACACAAAATACTACCAAACCATAATAATTACAATTAAAAAAATATTATTAAGAAGAATACTAATGCGACTACACAACAGTCACAACTAGAATGGAAAATTCAAACCACAAAAATAACAAAAAATATATGACTTATGTACAAGGAAATAATACCATTAGGCATAATCTGTTCAGCTGTTGAAAATAATTGTATTCATCAGTTTTCAAAAGATTCACAGATTAAAATTCTTCTATATCAGTGTGAGAACGAGAAACTAGTATCGTCATAAAAAGATTATTTTTCATCTCGTTATAACCGATCAACTACAATTGCACTCAAATGATGAATTGATGTTATCAAACTAAATCAAATAAATGACTTGCTGGTTTTTGTGATTCAATATCGACAAAAAAGTAACACCATATGCACTTTATACGAACACTTGATGAAAAGCGTATCAAAATGGGTGTCAATGAATTGTGAAGGCGGCAAAAAGGTGAATGTCTTTTTTGTCCTATTACTTTTATTGATAAAAACATGAAGATAAACAGACAAATGTTCGATTGAAAAGAATGGGATAATTAGTAACTATAAATGGAACAAGACTAGATGCATTCGACAGAATAAGCATATACTCCAAGAACATTGATATCATCATCTTGTCATCCCGAGATTGCTCTGATGTCTGACGTAATCCTACATAATAGATAGCAGGCTTATAATTAACTGCGTGCATTTGTAGGTTTCTGAATAAAACTTGTAAGTGGCGATCGACTATTGCAGTTGGAAGGTCAAATTTAGTTTAACAATGTACAAAATCAAAACAAAACACACAGTGGTGCCGAATCTTTCTTAGTCGAAATATGGCTTTGATATAAAAAAAAAACCGTAGTAGCTGCCCAGCTGATCAATCTGGCCATGAAAGCAGCCGTTGTGAAGGAAGTAAACACCAAACCAAAATAGTCAACATACCAAATCATCATATGCAAAACCAAATTGGCGGCCGTCCTTCCAACTTTTACGACGACAACAAATATTTAATGATTACCAAACGCCTTCGGGCACCGAACCAACCGTGCGAGGGCTTACCAGCCAGTGAATGTCGTTAAAACCACCAGTTAGATTAACCCGTAGTTTTTCGAATGATTTTATTGTGTGAACAGTGAATTTAAAAAAAAACCATCAAAATGTTGACTACTAGGATGATGATACCATCGGAGATGAAACGTCCACCTGTAGGGGTATGATGCAATAGATGTAGTTATCAAGTATACCAGGCTTCTATTTAACTTGAAACGTCACACGAGCGTTTCGTCTTCAGAAGACTTGCGCTCAAATGAAATTATCTATGCCAAAGGCTAGATAAACCTTAGTTTTTGTTTCAAATGATTATGTTGTAAAATGAAGAAAAACCAAGCCAGGACCATGTGTTGTTTGTTGTTTTTTGTGCTTATGTTGTAGGTTTGTTTCTTCGAAGGAGTCGTATGTTTGTAGTTGTTGTATCTGTTGTACTATCCGGAATTTTTTTTTATTTTTGGTTATTCATGTTTTCCTTTGTATGTATAACTAAATATACAGAAATTTATCTCATCAATAATATTTTACGTCAGTCGGGAATGTTTCTTTTAAATGAATAACTTGGCCAAAGATAAATGATTATAATTAAAAGTAATTTCTGAACTTTATGTTGTAAATTAAAAACATAGTCATAATATGTGTCGGAACATTATTTTGTATCCATACTGCTAGCAACACAAGATATTTTGTATCCATACTGCTAGCAACACAAGATATTTTGTATCCATACTGCTAGCAACACAAGATATTCATTATGACAGTCTACCATATGCCTTTTTTGAATTGGGTTGTAAATTTTATTTTCATAAAAAAATTGTAATATTGAAGCAACTGGACTGTAGATTAGAGCGTCAAAATGCAATATTATTATGATAACATAGTTGTTCTTTGAGTCCAATCCATGACCGTTCCTATGAAATCGCACAGTGTCTCGAAACTCCATGAACAATCAGTTTCTAGAAATTTTGATTCACATACATTGACCTGTTTCGATCTGTGGAAAAAAAAAGTGCAGCTGTCATACATGTGAATTTCATACTTATAAAATGTCATTCGAAATTTGATATTCAGAAGACAAAAACAAACATAATTTGGCTTACAAAATCATTTTCCCACTTTATGTGTTACTACAACATAATTTATAATTTGCGGGAAACCTGACATCTAGAGAAGTGTGAATTTTGGTAATACATCCTTTTTTTTGTCATATGGTCAGTTTCCTCTAGATAGAAATACAAAAAAAAATATGGTTGTATATTGCTCAATATCTGAAAATTGATTTGATGTTACTTCCATATATGAATCATGTATTTTATATACAATAGTTTCTAAAGTGTGAGGTTTGGGGTTTTAAACGGTTATTAATATAAAAATAAGGAGATGAGGTATGATTCCCAATGAGACAACTATCCTCCAAAGTTCAAATAAAGTTGATGTAAGCAATTATAGGCAACCGTACGGCCTTCAACAATGAGAAAAACCCATACCGTATAGTCGGCTATAAAAGGCCCTGACAATTCAATTAAGAAAAATAAAGGCCAAATTTATAACAAAACAATTATTTTTACGGCCATTTCCGTTATAACTCGAGAGAGCATACGCTTTATCAAACGGTCTTTCATTTTCTGGCAACTAAACTGTAATATCTTTTGATTTTAATGAATTCTGACAATATAGATATTTAGTATTTGTTACAATTTTTGTTACGAAAGTAGCTCCAAACTCAGTTATTAACTCATATATATATATCTGTATATTAATGATAGTTGACAACTTAGATTTGAGTGGCAGTATAATTGCTTTATTTCATCACCTTTATCTAATTAATCTTCCAAAAAAATATTTGCATTTTAAGAATATATCCAATATGTTTCTTATTCAAAGATACTACCTTACAAATGATATAAAATCGGTTATCTACGTAACACAACCAATCATTCATTCACAGGCAGGACACCGTAGTACTGCAAACAGAGTTCATTTTTTTTAAAACTTTAATGTACCGAAAGAACACACATCTATATTGCATATCGATGGAAAGAGAAAAAGTATACAATAAGAAAAGTTTGGTCGTAAAAACCCAGAGTGGTAACATTTTTGCGAAATTGAATTCAAAGGTCAAACCTCAAATATATCACAAATTCAAACATGAAGAAAGAAGGAGGAATTTTCTGAGATATATTCAGTAGAATGCTACAAAAAACGATTTTATAACAAGCATATACTGCAAAGGACGACAAAACGACAAGTTTAGCTAATTGTATGAACAGCTTCCATTACAAAATGGAGTCAGTGATGAATCTTCTGATTTTTTTCCATTTATGACAAAGAAAATGTAGATGTGGCCTTGACCTTTTCACATCCATTAACTTTTACATTGCTGATCATTTCATCTTAGCATATAACAGAATTATTTTCTAAATTGTAAAAAAGCAGTTTCTCGATATGTTTCAGATATTTTTCTTCATTTAAAAAATAACTAAATTCAAGCACTGAAACCGTGTTTTTCCATTTTGCATACACAAGATATGTATTTTGGAAAATTAGTATGTGGTAATAGATTCACAGATATCACGAAAGATATCTGTGAATCGTGCTAATTCGCATAGGGGTAAACATTACGAAATGCTTCACACTGGGAAATTATATACAAGAATCTTAGTTCCACCTCAATCTCTTCGTTATTGTTTGCGAATCCAGTATGCGAATTAGCACGCTTCACCGCCTTGACAAAAAGAAAGATCAGTTATAATCCAAATTAAAAATATTGTCAACAGAGACGAAAGCGAGGTTTAAAAAAATGTTGGTTCAGTGTGTTTTTAGTTTTATGCCATGAACATTCTCTTTGTGGGATTATCCTGGTAAAAATGTGTAATCTCATTATTTTTTTAGTTCCACCTCAATCTCTTCGTCATTGTTTGCGAATCCAGTATGCGAATTAGCACGCTTCACCGCCTTGAAACGGACAACGTTTGGTGCAGGACAGATTTACAGGTTCATATGAAATCTTGCAAGTGATCTGAAGACATTGCAGGGAGATACCTACGACCATATTTATTGCTGGTTATTGTCCCTGTTTGAATAAACTCATCATAGATTAAAATTGTGTACGTCAGACGCGCGTTTTGTCTCATCAGTGATGCTCGAATAAAAAAAGATTAAAAAGTCATAAAGAACGAAGTTGAAGAGCATTGAGGACCCAAAATTTTCCAAAATACAGCTAAGGTAGTCTATGAGTTTTCCCAAATAAAGCTAAGGTAATCTATGAGTTTTCCCGAATACAGCTAAGGTAATCTACGAAACCACAGTTCCTGGCTGTTTTTCATTGACGGGAATTCGAAGAAATGCACACAGAGAATGGAACATCTGTAGCTGGAGACTTTTTACCTATTCGACCCTTCTTGTTTTTCCTTCCAATCTCTCTGTCACCAAACATAACATGCAGGATCATTCGGTATTTGCCTCTTCGTGTGTCCTGACTTAATTCCGAAGGTCAATTACCTAGGCTGAAGAGAACTTCTTCACAACAATCGGGTCAACAAAATTACCCACTAGAAAGAGTTTAAGCTTATGCGAAGTCAACCAGGGAACTTGGGATGTTGACGCTCAAACGAATTTTCCAGTCTGGAATGGATCGACCATCTATTACCTGCAGTACATTTTTGCTAAAATTTACACTAGTTCGTTCGTCTCTTTTAACCAATGTACTAGTAATAGAAAGTTTGATGTCGTATCTATCAAAGACAGCAACAACTGTACCAGCATTGGTAATGCAAGATATCTGATTTTGAATGAAATGTACCCGAAATTGTTAAATATTGATATCTTAACATTTAACAATTGTGCTAAGGCCATTTCGTTCCTTATAAGTACGGTAGCGATTCGATCATACGGTGCCTACTGATGCTGATATGCAGCTTTTGCTTTTTTTTTATGACAAAGATCGGCCTTTCGGCATGGTACCGTTCTCGTGAAAAAGAGAGGTAGGAATAGATCTGATTGAGTGATAGAACCTTCTCCACTGTAATGTCTTCACGACACCCAGCAGTAACTAGAGCACGACGTATTCCTTGTTCTGGACTAATATGTACATTTAGTATCTCTCCTGGCCTGCACTTGAATTAAGACTTTTTCGTAAAGTCTTCGAAGGTTTCGATTTTTGATCTAGGTATTGGGTAATAGAAGTCACAGTTATCACTTTCTTTCAACGCACCATTGACAAACGATTTGACAATTTGTATACCATCATCAAATGCTTTTGTCATAGAGGATCCAATTTCCTTAGGCGCGTGCATTCCAGTTGAGATGTTGATCAGTGACTTGAGATGAGACTTTACATCAAAAGGATTTGTCAGTCGCTGGTGAGCATGGTCTATAATGAGTTCGACATACTCTTCATCTGGTCGTAAGGTAGTTGGTCTAGTTTCATCATGAGACAATTTTTCTGGAGCAGTAAATTAAGTTTTAATCTCATTTCTGCATTAAACTCTGCGAGCATCCATGCTTCAATAATATTTTTTCCCGACCGCTCGCATGCATATTAATTGCTCTTGTGACGAACATTGACACACAATGCATTTTTCCAACTCAACCTCATTCGTTCTTCTTTTTGGAATAGTAGGAGTAAACTTTACAGGACTATCAAAACTGGCCATTATCCGGAAAAAAAGTCTTATCCAAAGGATTCGGTTTACTATTACAAAGAGTCAAAGTTTAAGCAACACAAATATAACTTATTTACAGAAAAAGAACAACAAAATGTGATCAAAGCACTTAATAAACTCAAAAATATCTAAAGATTCACAGATTATGTATAACATCACATCAGAACTATCATATTTATTGTTGAACAAAACGTCCTAATAATTGAACTTGTTGAATGTTACTATATAAATAATGGATGTAAATGACGGATATGAAATTTCCATAGTTAAAACAAGCTATATAAGTGTTGTTTTTATTTCTTGATTTTTAACAAAACTATTTGCAGTTTGTCCATCAAAATATGCATGCAGTATCTCAATAATAAATTCTTTCAACTCAAATATAAAATAATGTTTTTGAATCATATGTCAAAGAAAAATGCGTTAAATTTCCAGCTAAGAACCTGCCAACTTTAAGTTTTAAATTTTTTTTTCGGGAATGGATTATTATTTATGTCTTCATCATTCCGATGACCTTGTTGATATGTGCATCGAAAATATTTACGAACAGAGCCTAAAATTGAATTAAATATTTTAAAGTGACTACCCAAAACCATAAATTGAGGGATACCCCATAAAAATGTTAAAATACTAAAATGTTACAAAAGAAAGTTTTTACGACCAAACGAAAATTAAAATATAGATATTATTCTATCATTTAAAACAATTTCCAGCCGTGTGTTATTCCGGTACAATAAACTCGTTAATTAAGTGCCTTTTTCGAGGTCAGTAGCAGTACTACAGGTGGATTACGAGGTTTAAGAGCGTTTTCATAATTGAAATCTAGAATCTATTTGAAGGCTGACTGATATTAATTTTGTTATTTTTATTTCATTTAAAAAGAAGCTAAACAGAGATTCTGCAACAGATAACTATATAACAGACGTCAAATTGATAAGAATATGTGATCATAACAAAGGAAGGTAAAATTGTTAATTTTGTGGGTTTCTAATAACAACTCGATTTGTTTTTAGAATTTTTTCAGAATGTCATATTGAATTCCAATTTCTAATTAATTACCGTTGACAAAAAGGGTCCGATGAGTACAAAACTTTGCGACAAAAGAGATGATTTTAGCTTCCTAATTCGTTTACTTTCCATTTCTAAGTAACAAAATTCAACTAGTACTTGCACAAGAAGTATATATCTCCAAGTTGATACGATATTCCAGAGCTTCCATATCCTATCAGTATTACCTTGATAGATGGTTGTTGCTTAAATAAGGGTGCGAAGTGGTGAAGTTGAAGTTACCCTTTGGAATGTTTTACGGACGCCAACACGAGTTGATTGACCGCTATGGAATATCTGTGTCACAGATGACCACCGATATGTTCAAATTGTCATTACTATAATCCTGTCTTCTTTTCTCTAATGTGATATCATCGAGTTAGAAGGATCACGTAGTTTGTACATGCATGAGCAACATGACGGGTGCCACATGTGGAGCAAGATTTGCTACCATTCAGCAGCACCTGACATCACCCCTGTTTTTATATTTCTATGTTGTGGTTTTTTTTATGTTGCTTGTCTTGTCGTTGATTTTCGTTTTTTTGCCATGGCGTTGTTAGTTTTGCTTCGACGTATGAGTTTGGATATCTTTTTTGTATCTTCCACCTCTATTTAGCTATTTCCAGTAAATTGTCACTGAGTGGTTTCATTGATGCTAAGAACTATTAGCTTATATGATAATAACACTATTGCAATTATTTGTTCTTGTTCACCACTAAATATATCTTGACTATCTTTTAATACCGTTTTCCTTGTCAACAAATTCGTGAATTGTAGATTTTTGCTTTAAACGAATGGATTCATATATTGAGTTTGATGCACCCGAACTGACATCATCGTAAACATTTGATTGTCTTTCTTTGGTCCCAGGTGATTCATATGTTTCTTGACATCTACAAAATATTTCTTATAACTACTGAATGATGTAATTTACAGTAGAGAAGTAGTATACACAGTATTGTGCACAGTTTCTGTTTTCAGCTTTATTTCTTTTTATTTTACTTGAGTATACCTCTGTATCTTTGGACTTATATGTAAACTCTTTTGTATTAAATATCGATATATATCTTTTTTTTTACTTTTATCTAATGGTATATGATCGTTTACATGATTAGCAGCTGTATAAGAAATATTAAGCCGAATTATTTTTGACCAGTTGATTGGTACTTCTTGATAATTTTTCATATGCATATGTTCCTTTTGTATATCTGTTACCGTTTTACCAGTCTAGTCTTGAGGCTATTGGGAAGTTAACTTTTTTAGCGTTCCTTTTCAATGAATTTATATGATATATGTGACAATAAGGATTTGTCAATAAGACAACTATCAACCAGTTACCAAAATACGTGGACGTAAGCAGCTATAGGTGATCGTACGGCCTTCACCAATGTGCAAATACCATTCACTAAACTATGCTTTAAAAGGCTCCAGTATGCATGACAAAATATATGTGTATGTGTTTTTTTAATGAATCAATAATCATTATGTGGTCTTATTATTTAAACATTGTTTTGTATTGTTTCCATTTTTTGTTATTTATACGGTTTTTGTTCGTCTCTCCCAATTTTCATTTGTTCATCTTTACATACTTTGAATGTATAAAACACTCATCAGGAAAAGCTTAAAATAAGGTACCTTACCTGTCATTTCGGATTCCTTTTTTCTCTGAAACAATGAACAGAAAACATAGATTGATATCACTGTCGTTGATACTTATATTTTCAATATTCGACACACGCACATAGGATACATTATGGCAACAAAATATGTCGTCATAGATATAAACAATATAAAGAAAATATAAAACTAAATGGAAATAATGTACTCGTTAGGAATCATATATAACGCATTGTATTATATTTGGAAATGGAAAAGTATTTCTTTTTTTGTGTTTTAACAAGAGGATGGCAAATTGCAAAAGGATGTGTATTTGTAATCTTTGAAGTTAAATTTACACAAATAGATGTTTTTACATTATAGTATTGCCATATTCATTTGACGCACCTCTTTTGCCTCTTTATAAATAAGATTTAAATTGTAAATTACCTTACCTGTTAACCTCTTATGTTGTACTATAACAATTAGCAATAACAAAACAATAAACACGGATAGAATTCCTCCAGTTACACCGCCTACAATTTGATCACGAGATGTCTCCTTTTCCATGTTTACTAGAAATATATGAGATACAATACAAAGGAAGCATTTTTAATGTCTGTAAACCAATATTTTATTTCTATTTGAATAATGGATGCTTCTGTTAATTTCTGTCATATCTGTCCAGTTTTAATTTATTTTTCTATTATCATATTATAATATTTTTTTGTTATGCCGTATAACAGTTTCAAAAAGTAAAAGAGATATTTATGGAGAAAGTGTCAACGAAACAATGACCAGTAGCACCAGCAAAACGAAAGTATCATGTCATATGCTACATGTATTATGTCATGGTTTAGTATTAAATTTTTGGGTTGGTGTCTTATTATCGTATCCCCGACATCTATTCTCATATAATTGAAGCTTGAAAAACATTAAAAATTGATATTTCATTCAGAATCTATAATTAATTTCTTTAATTTTTACAAAATTATATGAATTGAAAAAATCTTATATAAATCAGAAAAAAATAAGCATTCGATTTTATATGTGCAATTATAGCAAGTTAATAAAAATAGCAGGGAAATGCAGCGTTATGTCCATAAGCACGTGTGCTGACAAAACATCATAACATAGACAAAAGAAGGTTAGGAAGTCAGATATTATAAGATATAACTATCGTGTGCTGACAAACATCATAACGTAAACAAAACACAGTATAGAAGTCAAATAGTATAAGACATGACGTAGACAAAATGGAGTTTAGAAAGTCAAATAATACTATATATGACTATCGTGTGCTGACAAATAAAACACAGTATAGAAAATCAAATATTATAAGAAAGTAAAAGAGTACAAGATATGAATATCGTGTGCTAATAAAACATCATAACATAGACAAAATGGAGTTTGGAAAGTCAAATATTAGTATAACAGAATGACTCATGTGTGCTTACAAAACATCATAACGTAGACAAAAAGGAGTTTAGAAAGTCAAATATTACAAGATATTAATTTCGTGTGCTGATAAAACATCATATATAGACAAAATAGAGTTAGAACGTTAAATATTACAAGACATTACTCACTTGTACTGACAAAACATAGATAAAACGGAGTTTGGAAAGTCAAATATAACAAGACATGACGCACGTGTACTGACAAAACACAACGTAGAAAAAAATAAAATTAAGAAAGTCAAATAGTAGAAGACATATCTCAAGTGTGCTGATATAACGTCATAACGTTGACAAAAGGGAGTTTAAGAAGCAAATATTACAAGACGTAACTCACTTGTGCTGTTAAAATATCATGTTGACAAAATTGAGTTTAGAAAGTCAGATATTACAAGACGTTACTCACGTGTACTGACAACACATCATGATATAGACAAAATAGAGTTTACACAGTCATATATTACAAGACATAACTCACGTGTGCCAATAAAACATCATAACGTAGACAAAATGGAGTTTAGAAAGTAAAATTTACAAGATATAACTTACGTGTGCTAATAAAACATCGAAATGTAGATGCAATGGAATGTAGAAAGTCAACCATCACAAGACATTACTCACTCGTACTGTCAAAACTTCATTACGTAGATGAAATTGAGTTTGGAAAGTCAAATATAACAAGCCAAAACTCGCCTTTATCAATACTTACAGAGTCAATATTCAGTATGAATGAATTCTGGTTAAGCTGTACCATTTCATTCAAAGCATTTATGGTTGTGATATATTTTTAAAATAACGTTCAACTGCATCATGCATATGTTATCAGACTATACTTGGCCTATGAATTATAATAAATACTCGACTAAATTGTATGACCATTCTCTTTCAACTGATCAACAAGGTTTTTTGTTAATATTAATAATTTCCTGTGTTTGATTTTATAAAGAAGATAATTAAGATGACCTTGTTAATATTTGTAAACTACAATTGTATAGCAACCTTTCTTTCCGACACAGAAAGAACTTTGATTTGTTTTACCTGTTATATGTTTGATGTAGGTCGTAACACTGTCTTTCAAGGTATTATTCATTATATCTTCGACTTTTAGATATAAGGTAATGATGTCACCGTCTTTAATTTCAGATGTAAGACAGACTGATTGGTACGAAATCTCTTTAAGTTTTCCAGTATAAACATTTTCATTATTTTTTCGGAATGTGAAATAAAAGGCTGTAACTCCATTCACGTTTTCAGTTCCTTTGATAGGTAACACTCCTACCTCCTGATCGTAAATCCCTTTCATTGATGTCGGAGCGGTCTCTGGTCTTATTGGATGAAGAAAGTTTTTAAACTTAAATTTATTGTTGTAAAATCTGTTATCCCAAGAGATGCATAGTTGTGAAGAGTTATTATGGTTCATGACCTCGGTGATGTTAAATGAATGATTAGGGTTCACTTCAATTACCGAAGAATTATCATACAAAAGAAATCTTCTGGCTCGTCTTGTATTATTAGCTTTATCTTTCACTGTCAGTAATACAGCATACAACATAGGGGTTTTAAGTGGCAATTCTATATTTACTGATGTTCTATTGTCAGCTGGATAGATGGTTATCATATAGATAACTTTGTTATCTCTTATTTGGATCATTGGAGATATATGTTTAACCTCATAAATAGCGATTTCGTAGCTTTCTATTCCTGACCCAGTATTTATGTTTGGATCTATCCATCCTTTAAACTGGACAGTTATATTTCTAGATGATGATAATCTTCTCGACAGTATAAGTGGTTCACTTCTGCAAGTATTGTCTTCTGCACAGTGTTTTGGAGGAATGTTATCATAGATGTAGCATAAAGTATGATACGTTTCGGTTTTATCATAAGGAACTTGTGTTTCTGTGTTTGTTCTCAGTTCTTTCGAAACAAAATATCCACCAGCTTGGACACGACATGTGAGACATATCCTATAACATTTATCAGTTTAAAACTTCGTGACTTTGAAAAACACGATAAATGGAACATCGTTAATAGAAAAATCTAAATATATATGACAACAAGATGTAGTATTGTATAGCCTAAAATTGGAATTTGGAAGATCGATTTTTTTTCTGACAATTAGAACTTTTACCTATCACGTTTATGCATTCCATGTGAAATTATAAAAAAAAATCTTGTTCATGTTATCTTAACGAATAAATCAGAAAAAGTAAATGTGTCTCTGAGCAATAGTACTACTGGTGAATAGATCAATTGTTCAACTCATTTAAAATTGCGCTTTTGTTGATTTACACGAATTCACTGCATGGACGTAAATTTTGTATGTTTTACAACATTTATCTAAAAATTGAAATTAAAAACTGTAGTTTTAATAGCCAAGTTTACTCTACCTTTCTCCATTTTTCAGTGATTCCTGTGCAAATATTGTTGCAGTGTCATTTTCATAGATTGGTTGAGGATGTTTTGATAAAGAATCAGATTTATATCTTGTAGTGCCTACATCTTTCTGGTTTCCTATAAAAGAGACAGGTTGTGTCTTGTATACAAATTCTAATTGTAATGATTGTTTTTAATAATTCATAACTACCAATTCACAAAGCGCAAACATAAAGTCCCTAAATTTGAAAACTTCTTTTTATGAAAATTAAAAATTTATTTCCATATATTTTGTTTCTAACTAAAGTCTGGACGTGCATATGGCATGATGATTATCGATCGGCTGTAAACCTGATATTCACACCAGACACCATACTCTTGTTTTAACTCCTTGCTGGTCTTTTGTTGTTTTTTCCGAAAATGCATATCGTATATTTTACTTGGCTTTGTTCAAGTGTTGTCTTATGAATTCAGTTTTTGAGTGGTCTGTTTTAATAGTTTATATAATATAGTTATACATATCATAAATAGTCGTAAATGATTTAGCCTTTTTGTTCCAAGTCGGCTTTAGGCAAACACCAATACATCAATTATTAATAATTTATTTTACTTGAATAAAATATCATATCAAAATGTTGAAACCTGGCAAAAATGAATAAAGAATTTAATATTGTTTCAAACATTTGAATAATTAACTCAGTTTTACTTCGAGTGAAGGTACCCATCTGTAGATGTGGTACATACAATATTTAACAATTCTAAATAGATCAACCGTCAATGATATTCATGATAAATGTACAAAAAATGTCTCCCTATAAATTAATATTAGCTAAGAACAAAACATTCATCTTCAACACTAGTGTGTCACTGTCAACTCCTCTTCCGTTTTTATTATTCATTAATCTCCTATTATTTTCTATGTTTGTTGTTGTTACAGGCCTACATATTAGTAATTTTGGTACTGAAATGGTTCATAACAAACTGTTTTTAAATATTCCATTGATTGATTAAGAAATAATAAGAAATTCTCAATCCAATTCCCTAAAGCAAACTTGACCTTACATGAATTTTACTATACTTTGTTGGTCCCTTTTATCCCTATAACTCCTTACATTGTAGGTCCTGTTTATCCCTATTGCTCCTTATTTTTTATGTATTTATACATCCATGATTTTGTAAGTGATTGGGTCTGACCGATCTAACGGCTAATTATAATATACTATGCAAAAATAAAACACAAGAAATTCTATACTGACCTGAAATTGTTATCTTCTTCATTGAAATTTCAACATCGGTAATACCAAAAAGTTCACTGGAGATGAAATTTGGTCTTGAAATAGTTACTTTTGGTATTTTGAAAACTGCCTGGAAATTGATTTTAAAATGATCCACTTGATATCTTCCATAAAAGTCCTTTTGTAGAATACATTCAACTGAACCGTTATTTGAACTACTTTTGACGTCATCTTTAGCAACTACTGTTATTTGACAATGATCTATTGAAGGTTTTAAGATTGCTGGAAAAGAATATCAATAAGAGCAAGTATTATTCAGACAAAGAGTATAAGTAAAATTGAAGAAGATTTTTAACTGGTATTATTCACAAATACCCCTATCGAACATGATGTTCCAATGAAGATGGTAAGTCTAACTTTCGAAACTTATTTTTCAATAATTCTATCGCTATCAAGAATTTAGAATAAAAACTGTATTCAACAAAAGAAAGAATAAAGTTTATCAAGCGTCCTCTCAAAGGGTAGCTAAGGTATATAAGTTATGGCAAGTAACACGTAATAAAGAGTAAAAAAGATTTTCTTGTACGTAAAGATGGTGGTGGTGAAATATAAACGATGTGCAACTGATGAAGGAAAATACAAACATCAAATACACTTGTTATCAACCTAAAACAAATCCAGACACTGATACAGTGTAACAAAACACATCATCTCATTAGATGGTAAACGCCACCAATGGTAATTGAAAATAGAAATATTATGGCCGCCTCTTTTGGTCTTCTTCCAATCTTTGATAAATTGGGGCGTCTATTTGGCTATGCAGGATGAATAATACGAAGCCATGTCTGGTCAGAATTGGGATGTTAACTCCAATGCCTCGTGTAGAGAGAGTACTACTCTCTTTGCGCGTTAAGAACGCTGGTAACAACTTTTTAGGGGTCCGTAGGTGACCTGTTGCAAGGCAAATATCTGTCCCTGTCAAATATACCTTTATTTTCCAGTGACCTCCTAAACAGAATTGGGATGTTAAATCCGATGCCTCGTGTATAGAGAGTACTACTCTTTTTGCACGTTAAGAATGGTTGTAACAACTTTTTAGGGGTCCTGTTGCAAGGCAAATTTCTGTTCCTGTCAAATGTAATTTTATTTTCCGGTGGCAGTTCAAACTTCACCGACCTTCAACCACAACGGCCTTTATTAAAGGACCTACCCATTGTATTTATTGTTAATTTGTTCTCGTTCTAAACATCCATGACATTTACCCCACTAGATGTTTAGAATTCAACAATCAATCAATGTATGGTAAAACAGCAAATACCTACGTATATTCAACAAAAATTGTAAATCAAAATGATACATCATACGTAACAGCAACTTACAATTGCATTAAATGTTAAATGGGATGACTTTTAATATTTTGTGATTTATAAATCGATAGGTAACAACATCTTTCAAAGTTCGCAAACATAGCAAACACCTTTTTATTAAAGTTATATTTATATATTGAATGCTTACGCTGACAATTAGCGGTCAATTCGTTCTTAACTGTTTTAAATCCATTTATACAGTTACAATTGGACGCAATTTCATTTCCGCAGCTTCCAGGCCAACACCAACGATTTCTAGTGGAGCATTTATCTACAAATTCATATATTTATCAAATGCTTAAATAACATTGGTGTGCCATATCATTCTACAGTAAAGTCGTTCTTGTATATATTTGACAGTAAACTGATTCCTTGCACAATCGAATTGAATTTGGCACATTTTGTTCTCAATTTGTTTATAGTGCGTTGATTTGTTAAAGATGCCAGATGAAAATCCTTGTTTATAGGCGTCACCATAATTGTTTCAAAATCTCAGTTGCCTTCCAAAATAATGTAAATAATTAGTTTATTCAGCAAATAAAAACTTTAAAGTCAAATTGTGATGATATATGACTGTCGATTCAATGAAAATGTGCGTTATAAATTATAGAAAAGTAATCACATGAATGTTATGATTGATCATACAATCTATGGAAAAAATGCTGATTGTCTGCTAAAACTTATGGAAACCTTACCTCTGCAGTTATGTCCTATTAACTTGAAATATAGACTGTCTGTACATTTGACACACCATTTGTTACTGCTAGTAGAACAGTCTATTTCAGCACAATGGAGTGGATAAGGTTGTAAAACACTGCAATCTATTAAAAAAAATTATTGTCAGTACATTTATACCACGATGTCATTTAATATAAATGGATATCCTACATTTATTATGCTTTACCATAAAGTAAAGTCAAATTGCTGAGACACCCCCATCCTTTATTGCATAATATCATGGTGCAGACTGGATACATCCAATCGAGTTTACATCCTCGGGTGTGTATCTCATACTTACATGTTTTTTTTTATGTCTGCTCTAAAATAAATCCTGTCAATACAGTATCGCATCTATTAAATGCATACATCAAAAGGTATCCAAAAATGCGATATTGTTGGACGATCCTCATTGATATTACCAAAAATCCATAACAATTGATTTTACGCTGTATCCACCATATACAATGTTTATACATACGCCGCGGTAGAGGGAGCATTAAGTGTTAATCTTGTCCGTTCGGACGTCCGTCTGTACTGGTTATCTTCACTTTTACCAAATTTAAGTTATTTCCTCTTATTAATCAAAGCATTGTTGAATTTTTCGTTTCCTGTTCTCCAACTTTAGTTTACCTGAACCAAATGTAATGTTATTTATGCACAATGCTTGTTACC